AAATCCCATCCTCTGGTGTTTCCACCTGTTCAGACGTCCCAGAAGCTCCTTCACTTCTGTCTGCCCATACCTCTCCCTCGCTGGGCCCTGTCCTGGGTCCAGTCTCCTGATGGCTCCCCAGTCTCCTGGTGGCCCTCCCTGCTTTCAACAGCCAGCCTGTCACTCCCTGTGTCAACTCTCTCATGATCCAAGTATCCAAAGGGACTCATCACAGAGCCCTGAGTTTCACAGGCTAGGAGGTGGCTCCCCCATTTCCCGCCCCCTGGTACCTGCTGCTAAACTTCAGGGTCCAGTGAGTCCTTGGGCTAGGATGTCTCCCTGAACACGACATAAGCCTGTCAGATTGTGCATCACCTTTTGCCCGTATGGTCTCCTCTGCCTGGAACTGCGGTTCTTAACCTTGGCTGCACATGAGAACCACCTAGGGTGATTTCAAAAGTCTCCATACCCCAGACACATTAAAGACCTAAGAAATCCAAGTCTCTCCGGAGAGAGGGCCCAGGCATCCGTATTTTTCAAGACTCCCCAAGGATTTCAATGGGCAGTCGAGGTCAGAGCCACTGCTCAATGATGGGTGCCTTTCTCCACACCTTTTCTTCTCTTGGCAGGCTCCTACTCATCCGACAAGACCCAGCCACCCTGCCAGTGCTCTGGGCATCAGGAAAGCCCGTGTACCTCTGAGGCCCCGCCCCCTCCTCGGCACACCTGAGTTACAGGCCTCCTCTGTTCCGGCCTCCATCCACATCGCTTTCAAGCTTCACTGGACTGTTGTCCTAATCTTGACCACCAGACTCCAAGTTCCAGGGGCCACTCTGCTGGGTGCTCTCCACGGGGATGAGACCCAACAGTGCCCTGCGGACGTGGATACTCTTATGTGGGTGTTCTGCTGTGGATGTTTAAAACATTTCTGGTCTGGTGGGTTTGGGATCACAAACCCCTTCTTCCATTCAGCCAACACTGATGATGCCTCGCCTCTGCTCAGTCCTGGGCCCCACACAGCAGACGAAAAGGTTGTGGGGGAGAGCAAGGGGCTGACACGATGACTCAGTAAGACAGTCTCCTCCAAAGGAAGGAGTTACCACTCAGGATACTAATTACTATAATGAAGCTGAGCACGTAATAGGGGCCGCTTAATTTTTCTGGGGAAGACAGGTCGCTCTACCATCAGCACGTCAGTTTCTGTGCCCGTGAATCTGTCCTTGCATGGCACTTGACCCAGGCCCACTGCACAACTGGGAACGTTATCCACTACTTACCGATGCTGCTAATAATGACCTTTGCATCAAAACCTTATGAAAGAACAGAGGATGGATGAGATAGACAGGAGGTGCTGTTATATCCAGAAAACACAGACAGTAGAAATGGTTGGGAAATGCCCCTTTCCGTGACAGATCTGGGGGTGTGGCGTGGCAGAGGGGCAGATGCCTACTGGCAACATCCTTTCTCCGCTTCCTTCTTACTGACAGAAGCCTGTTTTGTTGGTAGCGGCAAATGCGCCAGGAACCAATGAGATTTCCCTGCCCTCCCTTGCAGCTGGGGGTGTGGCCATGAGACGCAGTGCCGGCCAAGGAGATGTAGTTGGAATATGCCAGGGAGCTTTCCCGGTATGAGCCCAGCCCCCTCCTCCGTGTTGCGCCCCACATCTCCCTCCTGCTGAGAACTTTGTGAGGCTACTCGGGTCTGGCTTCTGTTGCATGCAAACCGCCCCTCACTGGGATGAGTGCTTCGGTGCAATGAGAATGGGCTCCCTTGGCAACAGAGCTTCAGAATCCTCACCTCTAAAACAGGGTCACAGTGTTCATCGTTAAGAGGGGGTAGAATGTACCAGAAGTGCCACTGAACCAATGGCAGGAAGCATAGTTCTCATTTCTGGCGAGCTGTTCACACCCATGCGGTTATCCTGTAAAATCCTAAAAAGGCAGAGTTCAGTGAGCTAACTGAGCACCCTCTGTGCTTGCCAGCCTATCGGGCACGCTGGGAAACACAGCCAGACTGCTACAACCACAGCATCTCAAGACCACTGCCTAAACAATGAAATATTAACGTAGTTGGACAACGAGATTGAAGCTGAAATCAAGTTAGCGGCTGATTTATAGAAACCCGCATTTCTGTAAATTGTGTTGTAGAAACCAGCAGCGGTAGCTCTGTTCACTTTGTAGACATCTGCACATCTCTCTTTGCACCAGCCTTTCCGGGCCTGTCCGGGCCAGACAGAGGACCAGGCTCGGGGCAGCGACAGGGGCCCCAGAATGCAGCACCCCCGGCTCCCGGCCTTGCCTTAGCTGCTCCTGCTCAGAGCCTTGGAGCCCCCCATGTGGGTACCCCGCACAGCAGGCAGTCTGCATGGTGGCTGGAGGGGGCCTGGGAGAGGGCAGAGTGCAGGGGGAGACATTACCGTGCTCTGCTGGGCCCTCTCTGTGCATTATGTCACGGCAATCCTGGCTGTGTGACAGCCCTGCCTTGCCCATTTGGTGGATGAGAAAACAGAGGCTGGAATGGTTCGGTACAGTGTCTGGGATCTCAGGTCTGGAGTCGCAGCCCAGTGGGCGCTTGGACCCAGGTGTGTTTGCACCTGAGCCCACTTGCTGTCTGGCATGAAGGTTCTAGCAGCACACCTCTGACAGTGCCCAGGAGTGCAGGATGAAAATGTGCCTGAATACACGGGGGCAGGGGGGGGGTTGTTGAGGCCACGCTGGCCCTGGAGAGGCCACAGGCTGTAGAACAGTCTTTCTCAGCTCTACATTTTTAATAATCCTTTGTGTACCTCCAACTGGCCAAGTAAATACCCAGCATTCTCCCCCTCTCTGCTCTATTTAAATTGAAAATCTATGTAGGAAAGAATGAAGACTGCATATGTCTCTGTATGTATTCATGCCTGGTATGGATACCAAATCATCCATATCTTGTCATCAAGAACCTGCAGTTCTGGGTTCGAATCCCTCCTTCTTCACATGTCTCAGCAAGAAGGAATAAAGCACAGATCACTAACCACCAGGATCCCCTTCTCCAGCCGGCACAAGACCCCGCAATGACGGCCCACTCACGCGGCTTCTCCTACTAAGTAAGCCACCGTCACTTTCATCTGTAGGCGACCACCAAAGTCACACACACATTCAACCGGATTCATTTCTTGGGTAAAACACCTCCCTCTGGCACTAGTTCCAATGAGTCGTGGGAAGAAGCCAATAAATCAAGGAACTTAGAACAGGTGAACATCAACAACCGCTTCTGAACTATCTTTAGAACGTCACAGAAAGCTATGCCTCCATCCTAGATGTTATTTTGGAAACATCAAAAGGTGGGCTGTTTCTTTTCTCCTTTTCCTCCAACACGGAAGTCTTTTATTTATTATTTTTTAAAGATTTTATTTATTTATTTGAGAGAGAGAGAGAATGAGAGAGAGAGCACGAGAGGGGGGAAGGTCAGAGAGAGAAGCAGGGAGCCTGATGGTGGGACTCGATCCAGGGACTCCAGGATCATGACCTGAGCCGAAGGCAGTCGCCTAACCAACTGAGCTACCCAGGCGCCCAACAAGGAAGTCTTTTAAACTCGTTTTTCAAAGTCCTGCAGTCAGACAAAATAAATAGGGCACAACAGTTGTGGCCCACACGTGTGGCCAAGGGGCGCTCATAAGAAGGTAACAGACTCCAAGACTCATACCTCCTTGAGATTCTGGGTAAAGGTGTTCGGTGTTTGCAAAGTATGATTATCCTTTTCTTCCAGCATGTCCCTAGGTTGTTCAGTTTGAAGAGCGAGGGGATGATTGCAACAAACATTAACAGAAACAAAGACAACAGGAAGAGAAGCATTTCCGTCTTGGGCCTTTACGTGCTTCGCAAAGTGCCAAAGCTCATAATGACACAGTCCCCATAGTGAAAATCGGGATAGTCCTCAAATATAACATCTCAAACAGCCTCACAAATATTACAAGAACCATTTGCAAAGCACTAAAGAACATTACAACCATAATAAGAAAGAATTTAGTCAATATTCTCAGTTATGAAGATGTTTGCACATATCTGGCTTAAAAAGGGCTCTTGGTAAATCCACATTTCCACTTCTTTATATACAAAATGCCCCAGCCCAGCAAGCTTCTCTTCCCCTGCTCCTCGCGTTCTCTCCCTTTCAGGGACTCCCAGGCCCTGTCACTGGTCCCCTCTCCCTCTTTTCAGCAATGCCACTTAATTATCTATTTTCAAATCACATAAAATAGCAGCCACATTGCTGGATCTGAGCCAAGACAATAGATTTCTACATGGAAGCTGTGGAGAAATCACTACATTCAGTCACAGGGAACACTTCATTCTTAAAGACTGTTAGGGAAGGGAAGATCTAAATTGGGAGCCTTCCGAACCATGAAGAATGTCACAAAAATGATGAAGGGATGACATACGGGCTTAGGCAATAAACATTGCATTTTGACAGTTATTGTGGATTTCGTTAAAGGACAAAGAATCGGCCCGGGGGCGTGTGTGTGTGTGTTGTTTGGGGTTTTCTTGTGACCGATGTGGACTTTGAGATTTTTCCTATTCTCCTGGTTTGAAATGCTTTGTAAGTGTCTTGTGGTGAAAGGGGTTGAACTGTACTTGCACTGACTACTCCACATCCATCTGAAGTCCCTTGGGAGAAAACCGGGGCCCATTTTGTGCAGAAAGTGGTTTATAAATGCAAGAGAGGATTCCTTGGCCTGGGGCAAGTTCTTGTATAAACAGATTCTGGCTTTGGTTTTTTTTCAGTAGAGATTTCTAATCAGCCTACATTCAATCCCAGACTCAACAGAAACTGCTGGTCAGACATATTTTTTTGTTTACATAACTACATATTATTTTTTTTACTCAGAAACATCCCATGGAGAATGTCTTTTCCCAGTGTCACTGCAGGAATCACAGGAGAATAACAGAGGAGGAGGGATGAGGGAGGTGGGGTGATAGAAAGGGGGGTCCCCCAAACTGTTGGGCGCCGGCCGGCAGCGTGGGCCCTGTCGCCTGGGGGGTACTCACCATGGTCGTGGGCGAACACCAGCAGCCCCAGCCCCACCAGCATCTGAGCCAGCTCGTCATAGCGGCCACAGTGCTCCCCGGCTCCATGGGACACAAAGATGAGGGCCCTGCAGGGGGGGAGAGGGAGCCGGGTTAGGAAGGCGGCAGAGCACCAAGCACGGCCTGAGCAATACAGAGTTTTCAGGACACCAGCAGCGAGTGGAAGACCAAATCGCGGTGAGCCAGCCCTCAGCCCCCCAGGACACAACCACTATTGGTTGCCTCCGGGACAGGGAGTGGACCCTAGAGCTCTGGCCGAGGTAGCCAGGAGAAAGCGACTTCAGCTTCCCGCCAGGTGTGAACTGCAGAGGCTGTGGGCCTCGAGGGGCTCCAGCCTTGGGGCCGAAACAGAGGAGTCAACCCAACAGGAGAGACCATATCAGGAAGGGACAGCAAGTCCTAAAGGGGGTGCTGGAGCCCTGAATCCAGCCCGACCTGAAGCCCGCGCTCTCCCCCCGCCCCCACCCCCCCGCCTTCGGTTGGGCTGTTTTCTGTCACTGGTGATGACAAGAATCCTAACTGACATCCAGCTCTTTCCATTTGTGTGTGGGGGGGCATGGTTTACTTCTCCGGGTTGCTGGGACTCGCCTCACCTGTGCACCTGGTATTCTCTCTCGTCCCCCTTTCTCCGGCTGGCAAACTCCTCCCCTTCCTTCAAGTCCCAGCCCAAAGGTTCCCTCCTCTGAGGAGGATTTTAGAGCCTCCAGCAGGCTCCACTAAGTCTCCCCCCTCCTCGGGGCTTCTGTAATCCCTCTGTTGACGCAGGGGCGGCCGCGGTTTTCTGCCTACTGCCACCTCCAGGTACAACCTTCTCGAGGACATGCAAAGACTTCGCCTTTGCCTTTTCTTTAGTAGCTAGCAGGGTTTTGAGCTCATGGTGGAGACTCTGAATGAAGGAAGGTTGTGAGGTTTTACAAGAAACAGCTATCTTTTGCACCTTGGATCTGTGCAGGAGAAGCCCCAGGATTCTGAAGCAGAGCTTGGCTGGGCACTCAGTCACCCCAGACAACCTCCAATGTGGCAGGGCGACTCTGGGACCCCAACAGTAGCACCACCATGTTATGGCTTGCCCCAGCTTCTGCACTAGCCAGAGTCAGCCTGCCCGTGGTGGGGGTTAATGAAAGAGCATTTAGATTCTCCAACAGACAGTTGTCAAGACTCCTAGTCTTGGCATAAGACCCACAGGATGCTAGATTCCCCTTCGGGCAAAGAGTGAATGCTGTGAGCAACACCCATCCAATTTCTGCCAATAATGAGAGGAGGGAGGAGGGGGAGAAGGGGAGCACCACAGCTGCCGTTTTCCTGAGTATTCACGACACATCACTTCGTCTGTTAATTCCATATACAAGATTTCTAACCCTATCGTCATCTTAGGCTTTGTTTTCTTTACAGCTGAGAATGAAAATCAGAGAAGTTAAGTTTATGGCCTAAGTCGCATAGCAAGTTGGTAACATATAGGTCTGAGCATGTCATTGCCGGCTTTAGGGCCTCCAGCGGGCCACCAGTGGGCTCAGAATATAAGACAACCTGACCCTTGCCTGCCTTGCCACTCCTTGTTGCCAACCCCCCCACCCCCCCGCCCCCAGCTTACCTCCCGCCATGCTCGGGCAGCACCTGATTCTTCCTGTCTCAGGGTCTTTGGCCTTGCCAACCCTCTCTCTCTGAATGCTCTCCCCCGATCTCCCATGGCTGCTGGTCATGCCCTGGTCTCAGGACAGACATCACCTCAAAGAGGCCTCTCCTCCATCCCCCCTAGGGTGGCCTCCCCCACTTGGGCCCTTCTGACCCGCACTGGCCCCTCACCACACAGCACACTTGAGCATCACCAGCACTGGTTTGTAACTGCTCACGACAGGACGCCATCGTCTTGCCATTCACTTGTTTGCTTGGTTCCTGGCTCTCTCCTCCTCTCGTCCACCTTACTCCTGGCAGAACCCTGGTGCCGTATCTCAGCCTGGTGGTACTCAACAGGGACGGGTAAATGTGTATGACGGGAGCGAACACCTCATTCAAAAGCCTGTGTTCTTTCTACCACTCCTCTCTGCCAGGCTGTGAAGGGGCAGAACCGTGCCAGTTGGTTTTGCCATGCTTACGCATTTTATTCTTTGAGCAGCGCACAAAATACCAGCATTAACCTCATTTGCCTTTGGTATCTGTTCTCTCTACCCTTTCCTGAAAAATATAAGAGACACGTTTCACACCCTCTTCGCTGCTTCCTGGAATGCCCAGCCACCTGCTCTAGATCAGACATCAATCCGGGCAGATTCCACTTGCGCAAACCTGACACTTCTGGGGTCGGCTGATGGGTTTTTCTCTCAGCTACTGAGGATTATGCCAGAACCTCTAAATAGTCAACTCCCATCTGCAAAAGGGGCAGGGTTTCCAGAAAGGATGGCACAAGCACTTTAACATCCTTTGGGAACGCGGCAGCTGCTGCATTAATCCAGCCCACAACTAATGTAGATGAACCAGCGCTCCAGCCCGGCCAGGCTGCAGTCAGCCTCCGGCTGCCGTCAGGGACTCGCCCGGCGGAGGGCCTGCAGGGTCTCACTCAGCGCCCAAAGGAGTGGCGTAAGGCCGGTATGCGCGGACTTGCTTGTTAATAGGATCTACCCCCGAGACACGATGTGGAAAAATACTTGGCCTCTGACTCTACAGAAATGTCTTCCAATCCAGCGGTTCTCAACTTTGCCTACAACTTGCAATCTCCTGGAGAGCTTTCAGCAATGCTGAGGCTGGGTCCGACCCACCCCCAGAAGAACCTCTGGGTTTAATTGGTCAGGGGTGGGAAGAGCTCTCCAGGGGTTCTAATGCGCGGAGGAGGTGGAGAAGCTCCTGCTTCTCACAGCATGGGGCTTGGGCTACCGTACTGCTCAGATGCCACGTGGAACTCACCAGTGGCAAGAATGTAGCCATTTTGGCCTGGAGACTCACAGCCACTTTGGAGCCACTCATCTCCCCAGGGAACATGCTGGGTAAACCACAGTTTCTACCTGTAGGATGCAGACGCTTCCAGAGCTTGCTGCTGCCTTCCCTTTGGAAACAAAGCCGGCTGGCTTGGCTGCCCCCGTGGCAGGTAGCTGAGGCTTCTGTGGGCCTTCTCTGCATGGTGAGGCAGCGCTGCGGGCTCGGCCCTCTCCCCTACGCCCCCCTCCCCTGAGCCAGACCAGCCATCTCAGCAGACGCATGGTCTTAAGCTGCCCCGGTGGTAAGTGCAGCTCTCCTTAGTTTGTGCCTTTGGCTCGTGCCCGGGCCCCAGTTCTGATAAATCAGTCTCTCCTCCCCCTCCCCGCACGTACTTGTTCCCTGGCCCAGAGTCTTTGTTTTGTAGAATCTGTCTGGCAAAGTGAACGTCAAATCACATTACTCCTCTGCCTTAAACCCTTCAGAGACTTCTCCCCACAAGAGAACAAAGCTATTGCCTCTGTGGTAACATCCGCCCCTCCCCCCTCCCCTCTGCCTGGAGCCTCCTTTCCAATGCTCAGGTGCACTGTTAAACGTTCCCCAAGTCGGGTGCGGGGCGGGGGGAGGGTCCTGATTTGCAGTGTTTACCAGTCTCCACAGTGTAAATGCTCTCTCACGGCCGGCTTCAGGCTAGTGTGCTGTCACTGAACACGGACCTGGAGGGCGTGCACACCCCGGCAAGCCCCGGTGAGCCCAGTCCCACCTGGGAGCCGCTGCCTCTGCTGAGGCGTCTACCGGGGACCCCGCCCTCCAATCTGCACGTGGTGGTGGCTCTGTCACGTGGATCTCAGGCCCTTTGTGGGCACTGCAGTGGAAAGAGGCCCTTGAGCACGTGTCGCTGTCCCAAACTACTTCTCCACTACCACGTTTCCTTCCGCTTCCCCTAACTAGAATGTGTTCCATGAAGGCAACACTGTCCCCTACTGCTATATCCTCAGCCGGCGAAAATGCTGGCGCACAGTAGGAGCTTAGTAAGGATTTGTTGGCTGACTGGGTGACCCCCCAGGGCTCGGATCCCTCCACCCACCCCACCCTGCAGCCCCCCGGGTTTGGAGTTCACACCCAGGGGCAGGCACATCGGGAAGTCAGGCTGGCATGGGTTTTCCATGGCTTGGTCCCACTCACTTGTCGGGACACCCCTGCTCCCACTCCCCGCACACCTGCTGTAGGTGTGACACCCACTGTTTGCTCCCCAGTCACTGGTGGCCCACCTCTAGGTCCCACCCCTCCCAGCACCAGGGGCACATCTGGCCACACCCCAAGCTGTGTGCATTTAGGCCCTGGCTCTCCTGGAGAAGGGGAACCCCCTGCCTGGGGCTGTCTGATGGAGCTCCCTCCTTCACCACTGGATGCTGACCTCCACTTGCAACTTCCCCTTTGGGGTTTCACAAGATGTTGTGATTCTTGTTTCGGCTCTGAAAACATACAGCACCAAGGAACCGAGATGTGGTTAAATAAGCACCCCAGTTGCTAGGAGGCTGGGAATAGAGCAGGCAGAAGCCAGGATGACTGGGTTTGATTGCAGGCGTCACCACACGTGGCCCTGGACAAGTCACTTGGTGGCTTGGAGCCTGCACTCACAGGACGGCAGCAACTGGGGACCTTGACTGAGGCCGCCCAGAGATACTGACTCAAGGCTTACCACGTCAAAGGGGACAAACAGCACTGTCCCTGCCCTCACACAACTCACAGTCCAGCAGGACAGACAGGTGCTCAGTGGAGAAGACACCTGCAGGTGTGTAATTTGACAAGCGCCAGGGACAGAAAAGAGAAGGGACCGCAGGGATCCTTATTTGGACAGGAGGGAGCAGTCAGGAAGGGCTCTGAGAAGTGAAGCAGCCAGAGCCTGGAGGGCCCCGGGAGCAAGGAACCGGGGAGAGGGGGGTTCTCCTTACGGAGGATGGCTCAGCACAGGGCAGTGAACGGATCTGACCTTCTGAAGCTTCCAGGGCTGCTGTGGGGAGAACTGAGGGAGAGAGGGAGGATGGTGTTTGTCAAGGAACCTGCAGGCTGGGCTCTCAGCAGGTGCCAGGCACAGTGTGGTTCCCCCTCCCGCCGCCCTCCCCCCTCAACCCTGGCATTCTGCAACCTCGGCAGGGAACAGAAGCAGAACGCTAGCAGGGCCATTTACCGAGACCAGGCAATACCCACAGCGGCAGAAATTAGGTTGCAGAAGAGGCTGGTGAAGATCTTTCTCCTGGAACTCCTTTAATGGCTGCAGCCCATTGGGAGACAGTCATTCTGGGAGAAGGCAATGGCTGTCAGAGGGGGAGGCCCAGCCCCAGGAGCAGATGGCCTGCCTGGCATCCGGCCCTGGGAGGTGGGGCAACTCCCGGCAAAGCATATGCAGCCCTTGATATGAACATGCCGCAGAACTTCACAGAATGCATGCCTGTGGTGTAGAGCCCTGGCTTTACACTCCAGCCCTCCCATAAACTGGTTTCCGGATCTCTGTGGGCCTCAGTTTCTCCACCTGTGAAATGGGGACACAGCCCCTCCTCACTGGGGTTCTGAGATGAAATGAGAGAATGTATGTGAAGTTGTGCGGCTCAAGGCTGAGGCCTCTGACTTTCCTGTCACGTACTCTGCCTGCTCACCCCGCGCCCCCCCCAGCATGTCAGGCCCATTCACGGACCCACACTGGGAAGGGACCCGGGAATTGGGCAGGAAACAAGCCCGCAGCCACCAACGCCTTGAAAGACAGGGACGGGTGCTGGAATGAAAAACATTCCCCTCTACCAAGGACGCCGCCATCTGTCACCTGCAGGACTATGGACTTGCCTGTGACCTCTTCCCCTCCGTGTGCATGTCTGTGGGGGGATCACAACACCTTCCTCACGAGGCTGTCAGGAGGTTAAAATGAACCACCTCACGCACTTGGCGTGGTCTGGCACTGAGTAGAAAACATCAGCCTCTTTCTTGCCTGCCCTTTCCAAAGCCACGGCAAAGCTCCATCAAAGGAAGAGCTGAATGCCCAGCTGAAGAAATGTTCTGCTCATTTTTTAGGAAAAATTCAGGAAACCCAGGATTTGTGGGAGGAACCCCATGTGTCGGGTGGACCCCGTGGACATTCCTACCAGCAGGCGGCAGCTCAAGTGGCATCTGACCCAGGGAGGGGAAGAACACTAGCCCCAGAGACCCTTAGAGTGTCCTCAAATGAAGGTGGCGCAGGGCATCCGCCTGCCTGTTCTGGGGGCAGTATGTGCCGTGAGTTCTCGCTTACTCCCAAGGCATCCCACTCAGGCAACTGGGTGGCTCACTTCATCATCTACATCCACCCAACTCCTTCCTGCCAAATTTTATGACTTCAAAAAAAATTCACCCGGCACGTTTGTCATCGGGCCTGTGAGTGGGATCGTCAGGCTCAGTTGGACCCCTTTCCCATAACTAAAGCAGAAGCATGACGGGCTCTGCTGGAATCCAAATTTAACCGTTTGCCCTCCTCTTGCAGAGCATCAGGCTGACTTTGTTCCTCTCCGTCTCTGGCAGGGTTCCCGCGGCACAAAGAGTGTGTGGCGGGGACCGAAATAGAACAAAACCCGTGAAGGGGTCTACAGTTTCAGAGGGGGAACTAGAAATAGACTTCTCATTTGTAAAACAGATCAATAATGCCTATCTCCCGGGGTCTTTGTGAGGGTTGATTGAGAGAATTTATGGAAAATAACCCGGCAGGATGCTTGGTGCCGAGTCAGGCATTACATAATAGCCGATGCTGACAGCTGATATTTACTTTGGCTCGATGTTTGTCTAAGTGTGTTATGCGCTAACTCGTTTCACCCTCACAACAACCCCTGTGAGGTGGGTCCAGCGATCTTCCCCATTTTTCCAATGAGAAAAGTGAGGCCCAGAGAGGCTAAACAGCTTGCCTGAGGTCACACAGCCTGTAGGTTCAGAACTCA